ATAAGTGTCAAATTTTCCAAATCTTCTTTCCTCATTATGTGATCTAGAAATACAATATATTAATGAGACATGCATACAGCCATGGTTTTTAATTACTTCCGCAGATTTGCCACAATTTTCAGGCTGGATTTTGTCCTCTTCTTTCTGCAAGCATTTTCATTCGTTTCATTGTCCTAACATTGATATTCCAACTTTTCTCAAATGGATTGAAATAGTAAGTCATTTTGATACGGTCAAATTGGCAGCAGATCTCAAAAATTATCTAGTCTGTTGCTAACTGGGGCAAGAAGTGGCTTGTTAATTTTAATGCCTGCAAAATAAAACCTCACTCTTTTAATCATTGAAGAGAACACTTTTTGCCTTCGGTCAGCATGGCTGATGCTAACCTCCAGAACACTGACTTTCTGTGCCTTCTCAGACTAACATTTTCAACTCACATGAAGTGGAAAGATTATGTTGAATCAACTGCTAAATCTGCTGCTAGAAAAGTTGGTTCTCTGTGTTGTACTAGGTAATTTCTGTCACCAGAATCTATTTTACATGTATGTCTACCATTCATCCATGCATTGAATATTGCTGCCACATCTGGTCTGGTGCTTCTGCTATATATTTAGAGATTCTTGATAAAATCCAAAGAATCTATTTTACATATTTATAAGTCTACCATTCATCCTTGCTTTGAATATTGCTGCCACATCTGGTCTGGTGCTTCTGCTATATATTTAGAGATTCTTTGTTAAAACCTGGCATCTTGGTTTCAGTCACTTCTTCACTGCCTTTTCTATAAATACATTCATGGTAATTGTTCTGATGAGCTTTCCTCTATGGCACCTAGCCTTCATGAATTTAAGCGCAGTACTTGATTGGCAGCAAGGTCTTGTCATTTTACAGTTGGCATGGTTAGATTTAACTGCAAGTGCTAACAGTTTCTTCTACTACACTTATCACTTGTGGAACTCTCTTCTGGCTTCTTGTTTTCTGATCAACTTTGATCTTCAAAAATTTAAGTGTGGTGTCAATCATTATCTTACTCTTCTTAATTCCTGCTTTTTATTTTTTGTTCTCTCTCCTCAATATAGTTTTTTTCATATTCTCTCACATTCTATAACCCTTTGTGTCTTAGTGGCTTTATTGCCTTGCTTGGAGTGAATTAATTAAAAAAATCTGGATTTTAAGCAGGTCATGCCACAATCTCAATGTTTTCATGTTTTACAATTTTGGCACATTGGTGAAAACATTTATCTTAGACAAAGATGAGCCTAAGAAGAGGAGATACACTTGAGAGAACGAGCAAAAGGCTGTTCAATAAGTTTTATATAATGCAGTATTTACTTTACTATATATGTGAATGAGTTGGTCAACATTATAACAAGAGAACATTCCACACTAAAACACTACCATCTGAATTTAACTGATTTTTCACACTTTTCAAAAGCAATCTATCACCTTTCTGCTGTCTGACATATTGCTTGCTATCAGAGCCAACCAAATTAAACTTACTTTCCTTGCAGAGGAAGTCCTCCCCAGGATTCAGTATGACAAACAAACAGTGGCACCATTCATCAAATTTGCAATGGCTTGGCATTGTGATAACTTTGGAAACAATGCTGCAAATGAATGAAGAAAATTTTACACTTCAGTGTTGCCATCAGTGCCCCCCTAAATCTTGGGATTTTTGCCTTTCCTCTCTTCAATAAATTTGTCTCAGTTTCTTTCATTCAATTGCATTTTTGTGGCTTTATTGCCTTGCTTGAGATGAAATGTTAAAAAAAAAAAAAACTCTTCGTAGACTATGCTCCAAGTGTTTCAAGAAATAAATCTCAAGATATTTATCTATTTCTTGCCAAAACAGAAACTTTAATCTGGAATTGGAATGAAAGCAATGATGGCACCTACCCTGAATCCATCATCAAAATGAAAACATCCTCTATCAAGTGTTCTAAGAAATAAGATAAACCTTTCCAAAACAGAAACTATGATCATTGGAATGAAAGCAATGATGGCACCTACCCTGAACTCATCATAAAAATTCAGGATAAAAACTAAACACTTCAGATACCTTGTATGGTGTATGGATCAATTATAACAACTTTAGTATAGGAGAAAAGGAAATTGAACATAGAATAGGCAGCACCAGTGGTAGTTTCACTGAACACTGCAAATTGCTACAAAACCAAGAATTATCCCAAAAAACACATGTTCTTAAATAACCTAGTCAGATTGAGACTTTCATATAGATGTCAAGAGTGGGTACTGAACTCATTCAAAAATATCTAAACTGGCAACAGTATTCAACCATTTTTTCAGATCAGTGTTTAAAACTAGCTTTGATTGAATGATGTCTTTAATTCTTAGCAAAGAAACATCCTTCTTTGTACCTTATGGATTGGTGCATAGAATTTCAAAGAACTGTACCAAATAAAAGAAACCATTTCACTTGGGGACTTTGAACAACAGTTTTTAAAATGGATATTGCATTTAACTCAAAGAGAAAATAATGACATAATCAATCTTAGATCTACTAATTGCATTTAATGTTTTCAAGATTTTGATATTCCACATGGTCTCAAACAAAAGGTTAGGAAGGAAACAGTCATCAATATTGGAAAGAGCAATAACTGGACTTAAGAAACATTTTCCTGAAAAATTGATATAATAGAAAGATTTTATAAATTTCAACCAAAATAGTACTGGCTGCTTAGTCAATGCATGCCAAATGTTACCTTAATAGGAAACAACTAATATTACCATTCATCTTCTTCCCTTCAAGATAAAGGCAATCATGGCCCTGTCCATTGTAACTGTTAATAAGTTTTATTTTTTTGCTATTTCTCACAAACCCTGTCCTAACATCCATCTACTCAAGCCCATCAAGTATGCCATGCACTGTTTTTCTCTTTACCTCAGTTTGTTCTGTGAGTATCAGATTTTCCAAGTCCTTCTTTCTTATTATGTGCCCCAGAAATTTCAACTGTCCATTTCTGATGTTAAGCATAAGTTTCCTTTTTGTTTCCATTTTCTCTAAAACCATGTTGTTGCTCACATCTTTGGTCCATGGTGTACTCAGCATCTTTCTGTAGAACCACTTTTCCATTGTTTCAAGTCAAAATGGAAATATTACTATTACCATTACCAAAAGGCAAATATTACCATATTTCTTTGGAAAATTTTACATTATTTTGTTTTTGAAATGACTCCTAAATAATATTTGTTTTCTAACTTTTGATGCTACACACTTTTCTATAACTTTCTTTATCATTGCTTCTTTCTTTATGAAAATTTAATAAAGTGTAGAATAAGTAGTTAACGAATATTTTCTGAAATTTATCAGAATTGAATTTATAAAATTGGACATTTTGAAACGTTTGTTCTCAAATATTGAATACGAATGTAATTGAAGAATTTATATATCATTCCACTTCTGCCTGTTTTAATAATACAAGTTAACTTCAAAAAGTTCAAGTCAAAGAGGCAATAATACATAAAAATTTCTCTCCTGTGATTCTACAATTTGATTAAAAGGCTTCCTTTTTAATAGAACACAATTTTCATCTCACCTGAAACCAATCAGAGATTTTGAAACTTTGATCAAATGTCATTCCTTTGATGTATTCCCCATCAAAAAGCAAGACGTCTATATTCCTCATGTGTTTTAACCTATACTAATAAAAACATGAGACTTGTAACAAAATAATGAAGCAAATATTTTAATGATTTTCTTAAACAACTCTTAGCCTAAGCTCGTGCATTATGTTCTGCCATTGCCTCAGATAAATAATGAACCATTCTGTTTTGATTGCAAGGAGAGACAAAGAAAAAATATATTAAACTCACCTTTCAGTAAGAAAAAGAAAGCATACATAAAAAGAAAAGAAAGAGAAGAAAGGAAAGATAGAGGAGGTGATAATGCTTTCATGTATTTAATGTTTGCTTCAGTGAAATGGAAACTTTTAGCAATTTTGAAAATTCTTATTTGTACAATCTTAATTCTTTAGACAATGACTTGTATTCCTAACTTTTATTGCTATATTTTGTTAAAATTTGGTCCAAATATTTAATGATGTGGTAGGGGAATTTCTTTTCACAGGTATTTTATATTTGTAGAACTAACAAGGAGCTTTTTCAATTATTAATTTAAGCATTATGATCAGTAGAAAAGTCAAATAAGAAAACAATGAAATTTTCACAAGTATTGTTTTAAAAAAAATATTTTAGTGATTTTCCTGAACAACCTTAGCCTTTAGGATTTAACAATAAATAGAAAATAATTAGACTAAAATGTGAGCTGCAAAAATTATTAGGTTGAGTCATAATTAATTTCCATTTTGGGGAACCAATTCTAATAACAAATGTAACATCATAACTACTAATGATACATGGCAGTTAAGTAGAGTACGCTAACATATAAGTGATAGATAGATAGATAGATAGATAGATAGATAGATAGATAGATAGATAGATAGATTCGGTTGGGTCATAAGTCATTTCCATTTGGAGAAACCAATTCTAATAACACATGTATCAACCTAACTACTAATCATACATGGCAGTTAAGTAGAGTACGCTAACATATAAGTGATAGATAGATAGATAGATAGATAGATAGATAGATAGATAGATTAGGTTCAGTCATAAGTCATTTCCATTTTGGGAAACCAATTCTAATAACAAATGTATCAACCTAACTACTAATCATATGTGGCATTTATGAATAAATTTGGATTAAGTGGCAGTGTATACAGTGGATTAAAGGATTAAAAGATTTAGATTGGTCATTTTACTGGTTCACTAAACCCATGGGTCATTTTGTGCTGAATCAAGTAGTTTTAAGATCGGTTTTTACTTTGTACTTATTTTGCAGAAAAATTCTTTTATAAAGCGTTAATTGTACAAGGGTGTAGATTTACTTTGGTTTTAGCTCCATTTTGTAGCTGAATGTTTATTCGATTTTCTTTTTATATTTTGGGGTGAATTTTTTTTTTATTTTTCAGAATTCTAGAATGGCTTTTAGGTTAAACACTCTCAAAGAGAATCCTAATGTTGGGTACATTATAGAAGTATTTTTGTATAGCTGTCAGTTTTTGCAGTTAATCCAAAAATGTTTGACAGTGAGTCCATCTTGGCAGTTTAGGCATTTTGGAGGGTCTTCATTATTTAGGAGGAAGAGGTGGGTTATGTGTGTGTGTCCAATTTTGATTCTTGTAAGTATGACATCATCTTTTCATGACTGGCTGCTACTGTGATGTTGTCCAGTCATAATGGGTTTATTTGATATAGATTATTGTTTGTGTGATGGATTGAAGGAAAAATATTATTCTCATTTATGACAACGCAAGGCTGAGTACAGTAAGAATAACAAAGGAAAATATTTTTAAATTTTGTTGGCCAGTTTTTACTACAACTGCCATATTTATTTAACCTTGCACCAGCCGATTTGCCAATTGCTGCAAAACATATTGATGGCAAAAATTTTCTCCAATGAAAAACCTGATTTAAGAGTTTGTCAAAATTTTAGTCACATCAGAATCTATGAGATTTCACTCAAAAGGCAATAAAGAACCACGTGAAAAGTGATAGTGAATATATAACTGAATTAAATTAAACTTGAATTTTTTGAAGAATAAAGTTGATAAACAAAAAACAGAAATTATTTATAACTCGACCTAAGGCATGACATGCTGAAAATTTCTCGGCCTTAGCTCTTTCATTTACTCTCTACATCTATTCTTTTCTATATCTTAATCTCTTCATATCTCACTTTTATTCTCAGTCTGTTCACCTTTCAATGTTATTCTCACTCTGTTCATGTCTTTCTTGATCTCTGTTCATATCTCTATCATTCTCACTCTGTTCATCTCTTTCTTGATCTCTGTTCATATCTCTATCATTCTCACTCTGTTCATCTCTTTCTTGGTCTCTGTTCATATCTCTATCATTCTCACTCTGTTCATCTCTTTCTTGATCTCTGTTCATATCTCTATCATTCTCTTTGTTCATCTCTGTTCATCTCTTTCTTGATCTCTGTTCATATCTATATTTATCATTCTTTCACTCTGTTCATCTCTTTTCTTGATCTTTCTTGTTCATATCTCTATCATTCTCACTCTGTTCATCTCTTTCTTGATCTCTGTTCATATCTATATCCTCTCTCTGTTCATCTCTTTCTTGATCTCTGTTCATATCTCATCATTCTCACTGTTCATCTCTTTCTTGATCTCTGTTCATATCTCTATCATTCTCACTCTGTTCATCTCTTTCTTGATCTTCTATTCATCATTCTCACCTGTTCATTCTTTCAGTATCTCATCTCTTTCTTCTGTTCATCTCTTTCTTGATCTCTGTTCATTCTCTATCATTCTCACTCTGTTCATCTCTTTCTTGATCTCTGTTCATATCTCTATCATTCTCACTTGTTCATCTCTTTCTTGATCTCTGTTCATATCATATTCTATCATTCTCACTCTGTTCATCTCTTTCTTGATCTCTGTTCATATCTATCATTTATCATTCTCATCTCTGTTCATCTCTTTCTTGATCTCTGTTCATATCTCATTCCTATATTTATCATTCTTTTCTCTCTGTTCCTTCTTATCTCTGTTCATCTCTTTCTTGATCTCTGTTCATATCTCTATCATTCTCACTCTGTTCATCTCTTTCTTGATCTCTGTTCATTCTCATCTGTTCATCTCTTTCTTGATCTCTGTTCATATCTCTATCATTCTCATCATGTCTTTCTTGATCTTCATCTCTTTTCTCACTGTTCATCTCTTTTCTTGATCTCTGTTCATATCTATCATTCTCATCTCTGTTCATGTCTCTTTCTTGATCTCTGTTCATATCTCTATCATTCTCACTCTGTTCATCTCTTTCTTGATCTCTGTTCATATCTATATTTATCATTCTCACTCTGTTCATCTCCTTGATCTCTGTTCATATCTCTCTATCATTCTCACTCTGTTCATGTCTTTTTGATCTCTGTTCATATCTCTATCATTCTCACTCTGTTCATCTCTTTCTTGATCTCTGTTCATATCTATATTTATCATTCTCATCTCTGTCTTCATCTCTTTTATTGGATCTCTGTTCATATCTCTATCATTCTCACTCTGTTCATCTCTTTCTTGATCTCTGTTCATATCTATATTTATCATTCTCACTCTGTTCATCTCTTTCTTGATCTCTGTTCATATCTCTATTTTATTCTCACTCTGTTCATCTGTTTCTTGTTCATCTCTATTTCATATCTCTTTCTTGATTTATCATTCCTGTTCATCTCTTTCTTGATCTCTGTTCATATCTCTATCATTCTCCTCTGTTCATGTCTTTCTTGATCTCTGTTCATATCTCTATCATTCTCACTCTGTTCATCTCTTTCTTGATCTCTGTTCATATCTATATTTATCTCACTGTTCATCTCTTTTTTTGATCTCTGTTCATATCTATCATTCTCACTCTGTTCATTCTTTCTTGATCTCTGTTCATATCTCTATCATTCTCACTCTGTTCATCTCTTCTTGATCTGATCTCTATCATTCTCCTCTGTATCTCTATTCTCATCATCATTCTCACTTGTTCATGTCTTTCTTGATCTCTGTTTGTATCTCTATCATTCTCACTCTGTTCATGATTCTGTTCATATCTATATTTCTCATTGTTCATCACTCTGTTCATCTCATTTCTATGATCTCCCCTCTTTTCATATCTATTCTTTTATCATTTCTCACTCTGTTCATGTCTTTCTTGATCTCTGTTCATATCTCTATCATTCTCATGTTCATGTCTTTCTTGATCTCTGTTCATATCTCATCATTCTCACTCTGTTCATCTCTTTCTTGATCTCTGTTCATATCATCTCTGTTCATCATTCATCTTTTTATCTTGACTGTTCATGTTCATCTTCTTTCTTGATCTCTGTTCATATCTCTATTTATCATTCTCACTCTGTTCATCTCTTTCTTGATCTCTGTTCATATCTCTATCATTTCTCACTCTGTTCATCTCTTTCTTGATCTCTGTTCATATCTCTCATTCATTCTCTTGATCTCTGTTCATCTCTTCTTGATCCCTGTTCTGTATCTATATTTTATCATTCTTTCTTGATCTCTGTTCATCTCTTTCATTCTTGATCTCTGTTCATATCTCTATCATTCTCACTCTGTTCATGTCTTTCTTGATCTCTGTTCATATCTCTCATCATTCTTTCTGACTCTGTTCATCTCATTTTCATTGATCTCTGTTCATATCTCTATTTATCATTCTCACTCTGTTCATGTCTTTCTTGGATCTCTGTTCATATCTCTATCATTCTCACTCTGTTCATCTCTTTCTTGATCTCTGTTCATATCATTTATCATTCTCACTCTGTTCATGTCTTTCTTGATCTTTCTTGTTCTGTATCTCTATCATTCTCACTCTGTTCATGTCTTTCTTGATCTCTGTTCATATCTCTATCATTCTCACTCTGTTCATCTCTCTTCTTGATCTCTGTTCATATCTCATCATTTCATTCTCATTCTTGTCTTTCTTGATCTCTGTTCATATCTCTATCATTCTCATCTGTTCATCTCTCTCATATCTATCTCTGTTCATGTATCTCTGTTCATATCATTCTCACTCTGTTCATGTCTTTCTTGATCTCTGTTCATATCTCATCATTCTCACTCTGTTCATGTCTTTTTCTTGATCTCTGTTCATATCTCTATCATTCTCACTCTGTTCATGTCTTTCTTGATCTCTGTTCATATCTCTATCATTCTCACTCTGTTCATCTCTTTTTCTCCTCTGATCTCTGTTCATATCTCTCTATCATTTCATATCTACATTTCATGTTCATGTCTTTTGGATCTCTGTTCATATCTCATCATTCTCACTCTGTTCATGTCTTTCTTGATCTCTGTTCATATCTCATCATTCTCAATTTGTTCATGTCTTTCTTTGATCTCTTTCATATCTATATTTATCATTCTCCTCTATATCTCTTTTCTATCTCTGTTCATTTTATTTCTCACTCTGTTCATCTCTTTCTTGATCTCTGTTCATTCTCATCATTCTCACTCTGTTCATTATTCCTTTCTTGATCTCTATTCATATCATTCTCCTCTAATTCTTTCACTCTGTTCATCTCTATCATTCTCCTTGATCATGTCTTTTCATATCTAATTTATCATTCTCACTCTGTTCATGTCTTTCTGATCTCTGTTTCCTCTCTATCATTCTCCCTCTGTTCATGTCTTTTTCTTGATCTCTCTGTTCATATCTCTATCATTCTCCTCCTGTTCATCTCTTTCTTTGATCTCTGTTCATATCTATATTTATCATTCTCATTGTTCATATCTCTATCATTCTCACTCTGTTCATCTCTGTTCATCTCTATCATTCTCACTTTGTTCATGTCTTTCTTGTCTCTTTCATGTCTTTCTCTCTATCATTCTCTATCTACTCTGTTCATCTCTTTCTTGATCTCTGTTCATTCTATATTTATCATTCATCTCTTTCTTGACTCTGTTCATCTCTTCTTGTTCTCTGTTCTTTTTCATATCTCCATTCTCACTCTGTTCATCTCTTTCTTGATCTCTGTTCATATCTATATTTATCATTCTCACTCTGTTCATTTCTTTCTTGATCTCTGTTCATATCTCTATCATTCTCACTCTGTTCATCTCTTTCTTGATCTCTGTTCATATCTATATTATCATTCTCTGTTCATGTCTTTCTGATCATATCTCTATCATTCTCTCTGTTCATTTTCTTGGATCTCTGTTCATTATCTCTGTTCATTCTCACCTGTTCATCTCTTTCTTGATCTCTGTTCATATCTTCTATTTATCATCCTCACTCTGTTCATCTGTCTCTTTCTTGGACTTGATTCTCTTTCAAAGTTCATGTCTTTCTTGATCTCTGTTCATATCTCTATCATTCTTACTCTGTTCATATCTTTTTATCATTGATCTCTGTTCATATCTATATTTATCATTTCTCTGTTCATGTTCTTTTCTTGATCTCTGTTCATATCATTCTATCATTCTCACTCTGTTCATATCTATAATGTTCAATGTTCATCTCTTTCTTGATCTCTGTTCATATCTCTATCATTCTCATTCTGTTCATCTCTTTCTTTGATCTCTTTCTTATCTCTGTATTTATCATTCTCACTCTGTTCATGTCTTTCTTGATCTCTGTTCATATCTCTATCATTCTATCTGTTCATGTCTTTCTTGGATCTCTGTTCATATCTCTATTTATCATTCTCACTCTGTCATATGTCTTTCTCTGTTCATGTTCCTTCGATCTCTGTTCATATCTCTATCATTCTCACTCTGTTCATCTCTTTCTTTGATCTCTGTTCATATCTCTATCATTTCATCTGTTCATATTTTCTTGATCTCTGTCTCTGTCTATATCTCTATCATTCTCACTCTGTTCATGCTCTTTCTTGATCTCTGTTCATATCTCTTTATCATTCTCACTCTGTTCATGTCTTCTTTTTGATCTCTGTTCATATCTCATCATTCTCACCTGTTCATGTCTTTCTTGATCTCTGTTCATATCTCTATCATTCCTCACCTGTTCATGTCTTTCTTGATCTCTGTCTATATCTCATCATTCTCACTCTGTTCATGTCTTTCTTGATCTCTGTTCATATCTCTATCATTCTCACACCTGTTCATGTCTTTCTTGATCTCTGTTCATATCTCTATCATTCTCACCTGTTCATGTCTTTCTTGATCTCTGTTCATATCTCTATCATTCTCACTCTGTTCATCTCTTTCTTGATCTCTGTTCATATCTCTATCATTCTCACTCTGTTCATGTCTTTTCTTTTGATCTCTGTTCATATCTCTATCATTCTCACTCTGTTCATCTCTTTCTTGATCTCTGTTCATATCTCTATCATTCTCACTCTATTCATCTCTTTCTTGATCTCTGTTCATATCTATATTTATCATTCTCACTCTGTTCATCTCTTTCTTGATCTCTGTTCATATCTCATCATTCTCACTCTGTTCATGTCTGATCTCTGTTCATATCTCTATCATTCTCACTTGATCTGTTCATCTCTTTTTTGATCTCTGTTCATATCTATATTTATCATTCTCACTCTGTTCATGTCTTCTTGATCCTGTTCATATCTCTATCATTCTCACTCTGTTCATGTCTTTCTTGATCTCTGTTCATATCTCTATCATTCTCACTCTGTTCATCTCTTTCTTGATCTCTGTTCATATCTCTCATCATTCTCACTCTGTTCATCTCTTTCTTGATCTCTGTTCATATCTATATTTATCATTCTCACTCTGTTCATCTCTTTCTTGATCTCTGTTCATATCTCTATCAT